ATTTATGCTTTTCGGTATACCCGAGTGGGGGATACCACTACTACAGCCAGCTGTTTACAATTTAAAAATAAAAAAATGTCCTTCTAGTACCTTGACAAATAAAAGTAGATAATTGGTACGAAATCGACTCTACAAAATGCCCATTCGGATTTCGGCAAATAAAGGAATATTTTAACCTACGAGGGTACTCGCAATTGTTGAAAAACGGTAATTCCTGGGAAACAGAAACACGGGGGATCTTCTGCATGTCCTCAGGCGGGAATTAATTGAAATATACATTTTTATAATTAATTAAAAATAAATTTAGTGACTTCGTCACAATGCACTTTTTCTTCCCAAAAACCTGTCATTATGAAGAATTTTCTCCACTTTTATTCCTCGAGGAGTCCAAATGCACAAAATGCAAAAATCTATTTGTGTAATGTGCAGCTAGCCCTGAATTTGAAAATACCAATTTGTGGTTATCCTTAATGGTATTGTTCTTTTTCCAAAAAGTTATTTTTTCTCTACTGCATATTCCTTCTTCTACAGTCAGCACTCCAGTTCCATATGGACATTTTAACACTATCATAGAGTTTTGTTTTAAATTCCATCCGGACTGGCAGCAACATAATCAAATTTGGAATCAATAATAAGTTCACATTTAAAACTTTTTCTTGCATACAAATTTCCAAATCTCATTTTGCTCTGATTTATTGTCCATGCCATATTGGGGGGCTTTAGCAAAAATAAAAGATTTTATGAGATTTTTTTAAAGAAGACCTTGCCTTTTTTACAAATGTCTCCAAATTTTGAAGTAGTGACTCGTTTTAGTTTTTCATTGTGCCACAATGCACAATCAGCTTGATCTCTTGTCACATTCGTTTTTTTCTCATCTAAAGACATTGGCAAACTTTTTAGAAAATCTTCTGCAACGCGCATCAAAGAGTGCGACAGAACAAAGCCACGCACGAAACCAAGAACATTTATTTACTTAGTTCGAAAAAATATACATTACTTTAACAGATTAAAGAGTTGTTAACATGCTGGAATTAATTAATTTTAACTCAAAGACGTATTCATTAAAAAAAAACTCCCGTGTAATGTAAAAGTTAATTTATAATTCAAATCTTACTGTATACCTTTTAATTTTGAATATATTTTTTTAATAAATAAATGATAAAATTAATTTAAAATAATTGAGCGAATTTACTCTACGTAAAAAATAGCAAAGTGTACAGACATAAAACAAAATAAATTCAAATCACTTGCGTACTGTTTATCACTTGTAACTAGTAGAAAAGGTTATACATTTTGTTGGTGACACCCTGTAGACGGAAAAGCTTTTAATTTTTTTAATTTGTATTGTGAAAAGGATTCTACTGTAGGTAAAAATTAAATATATTGTTCCCTTCTAGTATTTTTATTTGTATTTCTTTTCGTTAGAAAGACATTTTTTTAGTTTTTTTTCAAAAGAAACCGATTCAAATATTCAAAAAGTGACTCCAGAGGGGTACGGGTTGAGCCATTACCTGTACATAATTTTTCTTTTAGTGAAAATAAAAGATAATCCGTAAAATTGGTGTACTATGAAACCCTTGCATATTATATACCTATGTCGATCTTACAGAAATGATTTACGTAAAACTATAAGGTGCACAAATACGTAAAGTTTATTTATCCCTCGTAAAACAGCAGTAAAATACATTATAAATTCTCCTTCACAAATATTAACTTCTTAAAAATCTAACAGAGGCGCCACTTTCCAGACGAAAAATTTTGCAATGTAAGGGTACTTCGTGGTACCCCTCTTTTAAAGTTTATTTTTGACTCTTTTTAAAAGAAAAAAATATGTACGTATAGGTAAAGGTTAAATCTATGCTCCTCTGGAACCACTTATTTAAAATTCAATTTAGTTTTTTCTAAAAAAATTGAGAAAATGGGTAAAAATGTATTTTTTTAGAAAAACGATTCAAATTTTGAAAAAGTGTCTCAAGAGGAGCCCAGATTTAACCTTTATCTACACGCACATATTTTTTCTTTCAGAATAAGTCAAAAATAAACTTTAAAAGTGGGGTACTATGAAACCTTTGCATGCTCTGCTCTAAAGCCAAGTAAATACTCCTCTTAAATTGGCATCTAAATTATTGTCACGCGCACCGACCGCTTTTTTACCTATATTGTCTCATATTGAATTATATTTATTGCACTAGGTGTAAGTTTTCTGCACTAATCGCATTTGATTTGTTCATTGTAGCTTCAAATATTTGAATGTAGCACACGGTTCGTAGACACCACGGTGGCATCTTCGCCCGTTGTGAAGGAAAGCTGTGACGTCACGGAATGCAAAATCCAGTTGACAGAAAATATTCTGCTGCGATTCGTTATTAATATTTAGTGGTATTTATATTTTTATACCAACCAATATTCATATCCATTTTAGTAGAAATATGATTTTCCATCAAAATAGCCAAACATTTGGATTATTTGTATAATATCCAGCGAGTTTATAAACTGGCCAAGTTAACACTTTATAAACACAATAGATAAAACTATAATTTGGTACCTATATTTATAGATTATTGTAATAAAACTGGGTTGTTGTTGTTTTATTGTTTTTTTTTTTAAGTATATTATACTGTTCATACATCCTAGAAACTGACAAAATATATTTTTATTTTTGATATAAATATACATTTTATGTTTCTTCTGAAGTCCAATGGGTCCTTGTTTTCTTCTATAAATTCTTTGTAACTACTTTTTACTAAAAATTTCCTGTAGAAAACACTTCTTTCCAATAATGGAGGTTCTTTTAGTAAAGCCCTTTGACTTCTCTTGCTTTTTGTTGTGTTTAATACTTGTAAAAAAGGGGGCGTCCATTAATTACGTGAGGTGTTCAAGGGGGGGAGGGGATAAAACCAAATCTTTCTAAATCTCACTTGGGGGGGGAGGGGGGGGGGGTTTCCGTAAATCTCACGTAATTTTTTTTCTAGTAGAAAACGGTATAAAATTGCGTGAAAGTAAAGTTAAATTATAGTAAAAGTATTTCTAGAATAAAATATTGAAAAATCTTATAATTATGTTTATTTATTTTTTATTAATTTCCATTTAAGTATTTATCATTTAATTTTATTAATGTGATTTTAAATAATTGCAACACTCTCAAACACTAGTCTTTGCTAGTCTTAAATAAAAGTAATAGAACATTATTGTGTTTTTGTTTTTTTTTAATAATCCAACACATTTACACCCAAAACACGAATTTTGAAAAATCTCACGCGAGATTAGGGAAGGGGGGGAGGGAGTTAAGGAAAATCTTACCAAATCTCGCCAGGGGGGGAGGGGGAGTCAAAAAATCCTCAAAAATACCTCACGTAATTAATGGACGCCCCCAAACCATGTCGTCTGCTTTTAAATGTAGGGTGGACAGAGCTGCAATTAATTTAATAATAGTGAATGATATTTTTAGAATAATATTCGAAAATCTTAGCATAAGCCTTTAATTTAATTTAGGCTCGGTCCCTTTATTACTTCTAACGATTTTTGTCTGTAAAAATTCAAAATTATTTGGAACTTTTGGCGGCAAGCGGCAGGTAACAGCAACACTACGGCTAGCTACAGGCTTGTCAACATTTCAAAATATTTCTGGATATAAACAAAGTGTGATCCGAATTCACCTCTTAGGCCGTACCATAATCCAAAATGTTTAAAATAAACCATTCACACAATAATAGTTCTCTTTATAATTCAATTAAAAAGTAATTAATTTGAAATTTGATGAAAATCATTTCATGATTTTACTTGCTGTTTTGTAGCTTGTCTTTCAAAAAATCACAATATCGATATTATAAAAACTCTTAACATCAGAACAAAGTTCAAAAATAAAAATATAAACAACACTAAATAACAAGTATTAGAAATTAAAAATTTAAAAAAACCGACTTCAAAAACGTGCAGATGCCATTACCACATCTTAACGAAATTTATATGGACCACCCCTGAGGTACCCCCTTACTAACAAAAAAAGAATCATATAAATCGGACAAGGTGGTAAAGCATTATCGCTAAACATACATAAAAAATTAAGAGTTTGAGGATTTTCTCATGGATCCAATTATTAGGTGTTGACCAAATTTATATGGGACCACCCCTGAAGTACCCCCTTTCTAACAAAAAAAGAATCATTGAAATCGGACACCGTGTTAAAGAATTATCGCTGAACATACATATAAAAAAATATCGCGACGAATTGAGAACCTCCTCCTTTTTTGAAGTCGGTTAATAAAATATTAGATATTTTAAAAAACAATGGATTATAGAAATATGCTACCCAGAGTTCAAAATAAAATTTGGGATGATTGGTGAGAACTGAGTCAAACTAAGGGAAAGCAACTTTTTAATATATTAAACAAACTGCCTCGAACACCCTGGTTTTTTAAAATTAAATTAACAAAGGGACAAATCGGTACAATGTGCAGCATGAGAATTGGTTACTGCTATAGTTCTGCTCATCTGTTCCGAATTGGTATCCTTGACTCCCCAAGTTGCAGCTGTGGTGAAATTGGAAGTTTAGGTCATATCTTGATGGAATGCAGTAATAATACAGACAATATAAAATTCTTATACCAAAAAATGGTTTTAGCTTTTCGAACCCAGTATTCCCCTTTATGTCTAAATGATTATTTACAAAAACTGATTTGCAGTACAGTCATAATCACGTCATTTTTAAAATCTTCTAACCAGAGATTTTTATAAAAAATATTGTTCAAATAGTATTTTAAATTTTATTGTATTTATTTACATGTAACTAATGTTAGTGCTGGTTAAATAACTTGTATAAGTTGAGACCAATAAAGGAAAAAAAAAGTAAAATATTTTCTGTCAACTCACTTTCTCATTCCGTGACGTCACTGCGTCCTTAGCAACCGTGATGAGGCCACCGTGGTTGTCTACGAACCGTGGGGTGCTCACGGTAAGCTGTGTCTGTGCCATCGTGTGTGCCTTGTGCTGTGACATTATACATGACATGACATAAATATATAAGAGGAACCAGTTGTTTAAATGTAAAATAATAGCTGATATCGTTTATTTGTTGTAGTAATAATGAATGTGGACCAAGAAGAACGTTTAGATCTTAGTGGTGTTTTTAAAAATGAAGCGGATCTTATTTCTGAACGAAGAAAACGACAAACACAGAATAACGAAGATGACGATAATTTTGATGAGTTTGAAACCAAAACACCGGGAGCAGGACACAATGTTGAAATTAAACAAGAAATTATCGAATGCGAAGAACCTAAAATTGAACAACGTTCGGATTTGCTGTCAAAAATTAACACTGATTTGACGCCAAGAAAAAAAGTGCGTTTTTGTGCTACAGCTATTAAAAAAGAACTCTGGAATACTAGTGAAGTTAAAGCTGCAGATATCAGAGAAATGAAGAAAGACACTAATGAATATTTTCAGACTAAAGTTGAACTTTTGCATACGCATTGTGATCTACCGACTTTGAAAAATGAAAATACTGAATATCCAGATTGTTTGACAAAGTCGTGCGACAGGAAACAGGATAAAAGCATATCGTTATCGAATACGTTAAAAAATAACCCAAATGTTATAAAAAGGAAAGGGAAGCAGTACCGCTGTCAAAAAAGTAAGCCAATAAATAATAATAATAATTACCTATCAAAGCTAAATCTTTAGACAAAAAAAAAACATTTCTGTATACATTTTTACCCTAATTATGAAGTTTTTTTTTAATTATAATCTCCAAATGTGCCCTCTTCTTTTTCTTCGTCTTCAATATTTTTGTATGAGTTAAGCTTTCGCTGTCTGTCCAATTTCTAATGCTACGTTTTTAATTAGGCATTCGAAACAAAATGGCTACCAGTGGGTTTTGACCACGGTTCGTAGACAACACGGTAGTATCATCACGATTGCTAAGGACGCAGTGATGTCACGGAATGATAAAATGAGTTGACAGAAAATATTTTACTTGGTGTCGTACATTAGTTTTTTAAAAATTCCAATATTTTATTGTTATTTAGTGGTGTTTATATTTGTATTTTTGAACTTTGTACTGGAATTAGAGTTTTTATAATATCGGTAGTGTGATTTTTTAAAAGACAAGCTACAAAAGAAGCAAGTAAAATCATGTAATGATTTACATCAAATTTCAAATGAATTACTTTTTAATTGAATTGTAAAGAGAACTATTATTGTGTGAATGGTTTATTTTAAACATTTTGGATTAGTGTACGACGTCCTTACTAAATTCGGATCACACTTTGTTTATATCCCGAAATATTTTGAAATATTTGGTAAGCCTGTAGCTAGCCGTATACGGACCATTTTTAACCGACTTCAAAAAAGGAGGAGGTTTTCAATTCGTCCCGATATTTTTTTTTATGTATGTTTAGCGATTATTCTTTAACGCGGTGTCCGATTTCAATAATTCTTTTTTTGTTAGAAAGGGGCTACTTTAGGGGTAGTCCCATATAAATTTGGTCAAAATCTAATAATTGGGTCCATGAGAAAATCCTCAAACTCTTCATTTTTTATGTATGTTTAGCGGTAATGCTTTACCACCTTGTCCGATTTATATAATTCTTTTTGTGTTAGTAAGGGGGTACCTTAGGGGTGGTCCCATATAAATTTGGTTAAGATGTGGTGATGGCATCTGCACGTTTTTGAAGTCGGTTTTTTTTAATTTTTAATTTCTAATACTTGTAGGAATATTTTGTAAAGAAGAAAAATTAAAGATAATATAGTTAGTAACTTTTATTTGGAGAATTTTCTTCTCCAGACATAAATAACGGATATATTCCGTAAAATATAAAAATGACCACCTACCTATAAAGTACCCCCCAAATGTTCCGACTCTGCCCAAAATCTAATTGGTTCACTGGAGGCGGGAATAAAGCCTAAGTTTATGGTGGATACAGACACGCACGCACACACACACACACACACACACACACACACACACACACACACACACACACACACACACACACACACACACACACACACACACACACACACACACACACACACACACACACACACACACACACACACACACACACACAGTCTATACAAAATTTACAGCCAAAGTAACCAGTGTTTTTGGCTAGTTTACAAACTATCCACAGTATTTGGATAAGGTGTGAACTTAATATTCTTAGTAATACATAATAACTAACTCATCGGTTAGTAATGATGTTTTATCTATAAATAATCTTTGTTTCTGACTATCCTAAATTAACCAAAGAGAATTGAGGGTTTATTCTGTAACAATTCCTTTATATTTTAACGGCCGTTAAAATATTGAAGGCCTTTAAAAATATTTTCGTATTTACTAAATTACTGCTGTCATTATTTAAACGGATTCCTTTAAAATATTAGAGGACTATTTTAAAGAAATCCGTTTAAAAAATAACAGAAGTAAATTAGCGAATACGAAAATATTTTTAAAGGCCGCCAATACTTTAATGGCCGTTAAAATATAAAGGAATTGTGACAGAATAGACCCCCCTTTGGGGTCTATTCTGTAACAATTCCTTTATATTTAACGGCCTTTAAAAATATTTTCTTCTTTACTTCTATCATTATTTAAACGGATCTTTAAAATACATTAGAGGACTATCTTAAAGAAATCTGTTTAAATAATGTCAGAAGTAAATTAATGAATAGGAACATATTTTTAAAGGCCGCCAATATTTTTAAAGGCCGTTAAATATAAAGGAATTTTTACAGAATAGGCCCCTTTGTCAGTTTACATACTAAACGACGAGTTGGTTATTATGTGTTACTACGAATATTATGTTCACAATTTATCCAAATTCTTTAGATAGTTTGTAAACTAGTCAAAAACAGCGGTTAATTTGTGTACGTTTCTTGTAGTTTGTGCTTTAGTGTATAGTTTGTAAACTAGCTGGATAATATACAAACCAACCAATATTCATAGCTATTTTAGTAGAAATATAATTTTCCATCAAAACAGTCAGCCATTTGGATAGTTTCTATACTATCCAGCTAGTCTATAAACTAGCCAAGTAAACACTTTACTCGTAACATAGACATACAGGGTGTTTCATCTCAGACGAGCCACCCCGTATATTTCTTATCCCATAGTAATTGGAAACATTTCCCGAAACACCTCGGATGATTTTCTTTGGGGGACATCTTTTGACGTATATTTGAGGCTTTAACGAGCAACCCCCTATGAGGGGGCGCTTTAACCCCTCAAAATTGAATAGGGAAGAGGGGTTGAGTGATACTTCATTTGTAATGTCTTGAAAGCCTCTTTACAACGGTGTATGAAAAAAATCACATTCTTAAAAAAAATTAATTGTTTCATCATGCTTACAATCAAAAAAATCAAAACTGCATTTTTAAATGAAATGTTCAAATTGTCCTCCATTGACTTCCATACAATAATAAAATAAATAAAAAATCAAAACATTTTCTTATCTTGCCTTCATTTTTTGTTTTTAGAAGGTGTTTATCACGTTTCTTCGATCATTTCATGTATTAAAAATCAATCTGTTGAGTTACTACTTTGCTGATTTGCTTACAATTTTAAAAATAAATTATGGTGTACACATTGCAAGAACGTGTTGAGCTGGTTAGCCTGTATTACCAAAATCAAAATGGTGCCCGAGCGGCTGCAAGGATATTTAACCGAAACCATCCTGAACGTAGCGTTCGCCATAAGTTCGTAATGGAATTGATTTCAAAATTTGTTGAGACGGGTTCAGTAATGAATAAAAAAAGGGCACCCATTGGAATTGTGAATGATGAAGGAGCAGCTGTGGCGGTATTGGGCCATGTCCAACTTATGCCAAACACGCAATCTGTCCGACAACTTTATGCAGTTTCCGGTATTGGCCAATCTAACGTTTTCATTGAACAACAATTGCATTTCCAACAAGACGGAGCTTCTCCTCACTGCGCCGCACCAGTTCGCCAATACCTCAATTTACAATACCTTGGTCGTTGGATTGTAAGAAGAGGTCCTATGGAGTGGCTTGCTCGCTCTCCTGACCTGAACCCTCTGGACTTCTTCTTGTGGGGACATCTTAAGTCCAAGATTTTTGTACTTAAATAAATTATCCAAGACCATAGCTTAAATTTATTTTAGCAGCGCACTTTTGTAAAGTTGAAATCCCAAGTACGGGATACTTTAAAGTATTTCTAAGGGAAAGATAGCACCTTTTATTCAAAAATAATTTGTTAACTATGTACTTTTTACTAAAAACTTCCTGTAGCAAATCCTTTTTTCAAAAATGTATGTTCTTTTAGTAAAGCCCTTTGACTTTTTTGCTCTCGGTTGTAAGAATCCATCTCGTCTGCTTTTAAATGTTTGGTGGACAAAACTGCAATTTAAAAATGGTGAATTATATTCGCAGAATAATTACTCTAAAATCTTACCATTAGTCTTTAATTTCAGTTTAGACTCAGTCCATTTATTTATTCTATTTTGTGTGTAAACAGTAAAAATTGTTTGCCAACAGCAAAACTACGTCTCGCTCCAGGCTTTACAAAATTTCAAAATATTTCGGGATATAAACAAAGTGTGATCCGAATTTAGCAAGGATGTCGTACACTAGTCCAAAATGTTTAAAATAAACCATTCACAAAATAATATTTATCTTTATAATTCAAATAAAAAGTAAGTTAATTGAAATTTGATGGAAATCATTACACGAATTTTTCATGACTTTCTGTGGTTTGTCTTTCAAAAAATCAAATTACCGATTTTATAAAAACTCTCACGCAAGTGTATAGTCCAAAAATAAAAATATAAACACCACTAAATATCAATACGAACCGTGGGTTTTGACAGGTTATGATATGGCAAAATTATGGCAACCCTGTAGGCTTGGTGATTTGACAGGGTCAATGACTTAGTTATATAGATTGATCATCCATGTTTTTCAAAATAAACATAAACCTATGCCTTGAAGTAAAAATTTAGGTAATTCTTTTTTTTGCACTATATTCAAAGGCTGAAAATTAGTTGTCTCTTTTTGAATCCAGCTTCTCGACTGCTTAGTCAACTACCGAGAGGTAAACATTTTTTGTGAATATTTTGTTGTTTCTCAAAAAAAATTCTCACCTTGCGTGATATTTGGAAAGATTATTTAACAATAATAACAGAGCTTTTATATACAACATATTCTTCTTTAATCTTTTTACTCTCATTCGGTATAGGTTGGGTTATACATTTCCTTTCTTAAACTTTCACACGTAGCTCTTTTATTAGAGGTGGAAACATTGTTTCTGAGGTTTGACGTTTTCTAAGAACATTACATAATAATAATATGTAAGTGAGGTATAAAAACTAAAAAACTTATCATGAAACTCAGTAGCTATGTAAATCTCATTCGTTTTCTTTTGATGAGATAAGTTTCGCCTGTGAACAGGGGCGGCTACTCTTTAAGGTCCTATGGCTTCGCGCCTCTCCTCAAAAATACCAGAGATACCACAGAATAAAATCCTATTTAAAAATATTATTTATTTTATAATTTTTTCTATCGTCTCGACACATGTTATGAGTATTATTTATTATGTCCCCTCCAAATCCTTCCCATAATAACAATTTAAGACCTCATTGACTAGGACTATCGTCGGCCGCAGTAAGGTAGAGAACCGCATCACTATGGAAACGGAGTGGGACACGCGCTAACGTGTATGTCTTGCAATCGGCTGTTTTAGTTCAGATTAGGGATCAGGCATCAGCAATGGGATTGTCTTTCAATTCAGCACGTGTTGAGATGACTATTTTCCTTTCACAGAATGTGATTCTTATATAATGTCTCTATTCAATTCGTTATGTGTTGAGTACGCACCTAAGAATCCCTGTCCTGGTCTGCTTTTTTAAACTTGTTTTATAGTTTTCACGGAATTTTTACGAAGCACCATGATAAACGATAGACTAAACTCCTTAGCCATGACATCAATAAATAGAACTTTAGTTATGGATATAAATAATTTCGAGTCATGGAAAAAAATTATTTCAATGAAGGATAGGAGAGCAGATTTAAATTTCAGGAAGTCATGCCATGAACTTTCGTAGAAACAAAAATTAAAAGCAATATAAATGTCGATTTTCATGTTTGATTTTTTTAGAATAATTATTTTGTAAAGACGTTTTACTATGAGAGATAACCCAGCAAACATTTTCTATAACATTAGTTATAACTCGACTTTGTTTAAGACGAATTTACTTATTGAGGTAATTATTACGTAAAATTGACTAGAAAAATATACCTCTAATGTAAATTTACCAAACGGTTTTAATTTATATTTAAATTTACGTAAATTATACCAAGAAATCTACCTTTTACACAAATCTGCTTAAAAGTAACTTTAACCATATCAGCAAGGGAAAAACTACTAAAAAAAATAACCAACAATTACTTCAAAGTTAAATTTCCTTTGTAGTAAAATTAGGTGCCATATTTAGGTAATATCTACCTGTTTGGCAACTAAAAATCGTCTTTATAGTAGAATATCCAACTAGGTAGATTTGGTTAAAAATTCTACGTAATTTTATGCATCCATAGTAACCTATTTGGCAGCTTTTATTTACTCTCCTTTAAAGTAATATTAGGTCGAGATCGTAGCAACATTCTACCTGTTTATCTGCCTAATTTCAACCAAATAGTCAAATACTCATTTAGTTGACCTATAAGTCATCTTGAAGAAATATTTATTAACTTTGTTGTAGCAATTACCTGAAAAATTTACCACAAAGTAAATTCGACTAAAAACCACCAATTTAAAAAAAGTCATACATGACCTATTTGTAAAATTTATATTATTTAGGTTATTTTAACAATTAGGTTGTTCAGTTACTGTCTTCGTCATTATTCTTAAGAATTTCGGCCATTTTAAAAAAACCATTACAGTCGTAATCTTAATTTACGTGTGGTGTAGATAGAGCTTTAAATGAATGCGAAAATTAATTAATAAAATGAGTTCGAAAAATAATAAATCATATCGTTATACTTCCGATTTTTATCGTAAAGTGAAACGTCTAAAATCTCAAGTGCAGAACAACGTGACCTAAATATGTTATATTTACGTATAGGTAAATTTTTTTTAAAACCTATAAGTTATTATTTCTTTAAATAGGTAAAGTTAACTAATATGTCGTGAAATTGAAGTTAATTCAACTTAGTAAAAAGGTATTTGTAAAATATGTAGATTTCCTTAGTCATAATAACTTTTAGGTCGAATTCGCACAATACGCCATATTTTCTTAACGTAATTGAAGTACGATTCCAAATTTTAAATTTTTAAAATGACCATAACTAAAACATACGAATGAAAATACCGAAAAACGAAACATTATTGATTTTCTAAAGTGATGCACAACAAACGTAACATAGTTTTAGCTCATAATATTATTATTATTTTTTTACACGATCATATTTTTTTCTTATATTTTTTTAATTAGAGAGTATTTTGGAAGGGCATTGTTATTTTTCTAAGTAGAACTGTTAACATGCACGACAAAATTTTCTTCGCATTAATTTCAACAAGCGTGAACTGTATATTCACCGCAATTACATTACATATATTTTTGTCACCGATATTTATTTATTTATTTTCAATCTTTCATGTGAATTAGGTATATGTTTTAGTTGTGTTGGTGACTTCTTACAATATTTCTACTTATATATAGATAAAAATACCAAATAAGTATAAAATTTCTTTTCGTACACTTGGAGGCATACGTCATCTGCAAATATTTTGGTAGTTTCTACCTAAACTTAGTTAAATCAACGTCGAATTAACGTTATACTGACGTCAAATTTCCCTAGAGAGGTATTACTAACCAAACGTACTGGGCTACTACAATGTGGATTTAGATGTAATTCTACCTATTTTGGTAAATAAAACCAAATTTCGACGTCGTCTTATTCTCCACTTATGTCGAATCCACGTCGAGCCAACGTAAATTTTACTTAATTATGGTTAAATCTAATTTTGCGACCAAATTTATTATATATAATTTAGGTAATATCGACGTCAAATTACACCAAAATGTTTGCTGGGAAATTTCATTTTATTTAATGACTATTAATATAGCGCAGTGTGTAGTGTGGTATTTTTTTATGTTAATAAAAAAATCAAAAATAAATAAATAACAAATTTTCCATAATCCCCACCCTCAAGCCAATTGGCGCCCTCCACCTTCTCAGCTTACGAGCCGCCACTGCCTGTAAATATATTGGACTTTATTATTAGCAAAAATTAATGATAAATTTAGAGATTATACCCGTTATGTGTAGTCAGACAGAAATGTTTCACATACCTTCACAATATCTACATCAAAATTGTTAAAAAATTATCTATGCACGTGGAAATTGTGCTTATTATTCTGATAGTGTTAGAAGGTTTGTGTAAAAATTCACTAGTAGTTATCGGCCGTTCGGGCGTCCTAAGCTGAATAATTTTATTCAATGATTGTTATTTATTTTATTACATTTCTCATTGTGCCTAAACTTTTAAAAAGTACACACTACCCACAGTTGTTACTTTATATCTTCTCTTGTATGTTTTTCTAAATTGTTGCATTTTCTGATTCAGTTATATATTTTTCATTTGCAGATTCCCACGGAAAGTATTTGAAAAAAAATGCCGTGCAGAAACATTTAATAACCCACACTAATGAAAAAACATACAAGTGTGACATTTGTTCCAAGGAATTTACACAAAAACCTAATTTACAGGTACATTTAAAAAGAAACCACACTAACGATAATAAACCATTCCAGTGTAATATTTGTTCCAAGAAATGTACTCACAAATGGAACTTAAAGACACATTTAAAAATCCACACCAATGAAAAGCCATTCCAGTGCAGCATTTGTTCCAAGAACTTTACTCAAAAACATCACTTACAGTCACATTTAAGAACCCACGCTAATGAAAAATCATTCAAGTGTGACATTTGCTCCAAGGAATTTAATCATAAATGTAGCTTACAGCTACATTTAAGAATCCATAATAATGAAAAACCATTTCAGTGTAATATTTGTTCCAAGGAATTTACTCAGAAACAACACTTACAGAAACATTTAAGAACCCATACTAACGAAAAACCATTCCAGTGTAGCATTTGTTCCAAGAAATTTACTCAGAAACATCACTTACAGTCACATTTAAAAACCCACGCTAATGAAAAATCATTCAAATGTGACATTTGCTCCAAAGAAGTAAATCATAGATCTGGATTACAGAGCCATTTAAGAACCCACAGTAATGAGAAATCATTCCAGTGTAACATTTGTTCCAAGAAATTTAATAATAAACCTACCTTACAGAGCCATTTAAGAATCCACAGTAATGAGAAACCATTCCGGTGTAACATTTGTTCCAAAAAATTTCTTCGGAAATTCAGCTGGCAGATACATTTAAAAAATCACACTAATGAAAAACAATTTCAGTGTAACACTTGTTTCAAGGAATTTAGTCTTAAATCTAGCTTACAAATACATTTAAGAATCCACAGTAATAAAAAACCATTTCAGTGTAATATTTGTTCCAAGGAATTTACCCAAAAATACCACTTACAGAGCCATTTAAGAACCCACACTAATGAGAAACCATTTCAGTGTCACATTTGTTCCAAGAAATTTCGTCGAAAAGTTAGCATGCAGATACATTTAAGAAATCACACTAATGGAAAACAATTTCAATGTAACATTTGTTCCAAGAAATTTAATTTTAAATCTAGCTTACAGATGCATTTAAAAATCCACAGTAATGAAAAACCTTTCCAGTGTAACATTTGTTCCAAGAAATTTACTCAGAAACAGCAATTACAGACGCATTTAAAAATCCACACTAATGAAAAATCATGCAAGTGTGGCATTTGTTCCAAGGAATTTAATCGTAAATCCAGCTTACAGAAACATTTAAAAACCCACGCTAATGAGATACCATTCCAGTGTAATATTTGTTCCAAAAAATTTACCCATAAATGTAGCTTGCAGATACATTTAAAAACCCATACTATTGAAAAATAGGGGTGGGCAAAATAATCAATTAATAGATTCATTTTGTAGAAAAATCGGTTATAGATAATTAGTTTAATTAATTAATTGATTAATAAAATATTTTTGAGTAAATCAATTACTTTCCATTTATCAAAGATTAGTGAGTGGTTCAGTGCCAGAGTTGTCTAATCAACAATTTAAAGTGAGTAATGTGACAAGTCTTCTATTTTCACTTGTCAGATTTGGAAGTCGTGGGTGGCGCTAGGCTGTTATTTCGAATAAGAGTTGCCCATATGCCAGTTTTGATTACTCAGTTTGCTCTGCGACCCACAAGTGCACCTAGAGTGCCCTCAAAGTAACTTCAGTGGAATGAATATAACCAGGCGCTCGTATACGTAAGAGGTAGTACCCCAGTATAAAGAACAATACTTTATACTGGGGTAGTACCACAAAGCACATAGAGGTTCCACGTGTATGACCAAGGTCAAAACCGACAACTGACATTTTTTATGCTATTTGCTCCAAACTCTAGATGGGGCTACTGGTAAAATTCTGATTTCTTACTCCATTTTTAAGCTTTATGGGAGAAAAACTTAACCAAAGACTCCAAAGATGTGACGTGATTTATTTATGTTTTTGGTTAATCTCATTTTTCCGTCTGATTTTAGTGATTTTTTGTTGGCTTTGGCTTTTGGTTTCTGTTTATAGTTTCGTCTTAGTTATTTGCAAAATTGTGATGTTCTGCTTTTCTACTTCCTACTGTGTTTTGCAACCTGTAGGTGCTACGTTGAAAACTTCGAGAAAAACTTCATTGATTCACCATGCATCTGCATCATAAAAAGACAAACGGGTATAACAACTAATTGATAATTAATTTATCACTGGACTAGATTCCGAAATCATTTTTCACATAAGACAGTAATACACAAAGCAGTGGAGTAATACCACCATCTGTATTTGGAAAGAAAATACCTATTTATCATTGAATGAATAGTTAAAAGGATTCACCTTTTAATACAATACCTATATATTACATTTGTCCTCGGTTAAAAGACATAAAATATATTATTTTAGTGTTAATAAAATGTAATATCCTAGTCTCTACTTCACATTTAAATTATTGATAGGTATTTTAAAGATTTGAGATTGTATACCTATTTGCTGCAAGTAAGTATTCGTTAAATATGTATTATTATTTTTATCTAATAATATTTATTTAAGTTATTAATAAACATATTTTAAGAATGTTCTATTTTATTATTTATTGATATATCCTATATTTATTTAATAATAATATGCAGAACCAACTCTCCACATCAGACCCCTGCTTATAACAAATTAATTCCTCAAATTTGGTATAATCGACCTAAATTATTTTGTAAAATAAAAGTTTCGAACTTACCAGTTCCATTCTTTATTTTATAAAATAATTTATGTGGAAATCATTTAAAATTTAATTTAAAACTACTACCTACTCCTAAAAATTACAATTTGAATTTACCGCCATCTGTCAATTGTCATTTTAGTTCCAGCTCCAAACACAAGGTGGCGCTAATTTGGTTTAAAAGTTTAACATTGGCGTGGGGTCTCTAGAAGATACGTGCTTTGTGGGTAGTACCTAAATAGTTAAAAAAATAAAAAAATATAATATCTACTTCCCAAGCGGTACACAGTGGCGGCTTGTGCATAAGTGGAGTAGAGCAGCAGAACTGCCAAAAGAATGCAAGTATTCTCGTCCACATTTCACAGAAATTATTTAAGGCATTCTAAAATTTACGTAAAATAGATTTTATGGATAATCTCATAATTTTAGTTTAATTTTAATCATTAAATTTTAAATGGTGTGTGTGTGTGTGCACTGCACCGCTTAGGCCGATCGCGCTCTTCGTCTCCTTTACTCGTTCTAGTAGTCTTGATAGGCATATTATGCCTGTCAAAAAGATTAATTAACAAGTTTGCGAATAGCGAAAGTTTCTTGTCAACAGTATTTTAATCAAAAATAAAAAAAAAATGTGTTAAACATTTTAAAGTACTCTTACCCTAAAGGTGATTCTGGACGAGCTAGATAAAGGGAAATAGTAAAACATAGGAAATATATATGTACAAAAATATTTTAAAAAAAGGTTGCCTGGGTAGCCAATATCAAACCCAAACTATAACGGTTCCTATTTACAACAAATTCCCCACAAAATAATAATGCAACTAATATAATAAATAAGAACGGTAAGACGGATGCTCTTAAAGGTACCATTTGGGTAGGCGCGTCAAGAGACAAGCGACCACTGATGCGATCCCAAGGTCGAGTAGGACGACAGATGCATAAATGTTACGTTTGGTATATTTCGTAAGCTTGAGAAGTGTCGCGCGACACTTACAGGATAACCATTCGAGGGAACGATCAGGGTTGCCAGACCTACTGTTTCCACGTAGATCCACTATTTTTCTCTCTAGCAAATTTTGTTTTTTATTCATTAAGTTTGCCTTATTCTTCAGCAAATGGTTAAAGAATATTTTTTCTAGTAAATTTTCTGCAGTAAAAGCAGCGTAATAAGCACCCACTACTCTAGGTTGGCTCCATAAAAAAAACATCAAGATAATCATAAAATGAAACAAAGAATTAATAGGGCATCATAAAAAGAACATGCACACTACGATTTTGAAATATCTGATTCAGACTGATCTGAAAGAAGTAGGTACCTATTATTTTTCATTGTTTTTTTTTGTTTCCGTACGTTAAGTATATATTAAAAATGTTATTATTTGTGTTTATTCTTTATTTACCTTCTAATTTGGGTCGAAAAAAGTTTATTTTTCGTTTCTTATATACTTGTTTTTTTATTTACTACACTGCAAATTTCAATTATTTCCCCCTGTATTAAAATCTACTGTTCAGATCTACGGTTTTTTTTTCACCCATACTGTTCCAAAATCTGGCAACACTGCCTAGATCGAAAGAAATTTTCAACCTATTCACCTCCAAGCGATGAAGCGATGCTCGAGGACAGGGACCTCGAGTGCGACAGGCAGCAAACCTTTGCCCCGAGTCAGATTCAGAAGTGTCTCTAGGAAGTGTCTCGCCGTGCGAAATGTGTTTCATATAATTGTATGTATTTTAGATGTGAAGCGACACTTCTCGGTCGCGTCGGCGGTCGTATGTCGCGTCGGCGGTCGTCTGTCGCGCCTACCGAAATGGTACCTTAACAATCCGGAATTTCCGGCTCAATTAACGGGCGACTACGAACTGTCCCACGATACCTAGATTTTATTGGGTTCAGTTTTAAAGTAAGATTAAGAGCGATTACGAATTGCGCCACGCTACCTAGATTTTATCGGGTTTTAAAGCCAATTGAAAACGGCTACTTGTTATCTCAAAGATTAACCGAATCCTTTATTGTATTCAAAAAGGAACTTAATTCCTAAAATAAGCGAACATTAGAAATGATTAAATAATGAAACTATCACAATTTAATCGAATAAACTTTATTTATAAATCTACAATAACAACTATACTACAATAACTACACTACAATAACTACACTACAATAACTACACTACAATAACTACACTACAATAACTACACTACAATAACTACACTACAATAACTACACTACAATAACTACACTACAATAACTACACTACAATAACTACACTACAATAACTACACTACAATAATAACTTAAACAATAACAATGCCTAATTCTAATGACTTATTAGTGATTAAAATAAGTGTGAATACAGTATATATTGAATACTATATTTTTGTATATTAAAAGTTAGCTGCATAATAATTGCAAACTGATTAAAGTCTAATTTAGTAATGTTTTGCCGTTTTATTAAGTTTTTTTCTAATCCATGTGTAGTTCGTTCTAATTTTAACATATACTTCTGCTTGAAAATTTAACAAAATGTCTGTAAATTTAAATATGTCAGGATGTGATTTATGAAAACATTAATTAAATTTCGAGTGAAATGATTCACATGCGTTTGTAGTAAATATAAGAGATGATGAATTTGAAGCCCGCATGTAACGTGGAAATGTGGAATTTTCCGTTAAATAATTATCAACTAGGTACGTAATCACAAAATTGCAAAACTCTGTCATCTTCTGCCATAATATTAAAAAGTTCACCAAAAAAAAAAGTAACCAACTTCATTTGGGTCTAAATAAGGAATACCGAAAAACAATTTTTAATATTAATAATAGTTTGATTTTTATATTACGAGGACAAACCTAAATTTTGAATTTTTCTAAACCAATTTTGTGTCAAATGAAATTTGCAACAAAAAATAGTAATATCGAGCAACACTAACTTCGCTGCATTTTGAATTGCTATTTCAAAATCAGAATTTATTCGCTTCGGTTTGAAATTCTAAATTAAATCTGTATGTACATATTGTTATTAATGTATCAAAACACTAGAGGAACATAAAAACCATTTCTGTAGCCATGTATAGTAAACATCAAAACATCTGACAAAAATATTTAGAACAGTAGGTATTGAAAAGTTCCATCTACATACAAAGAATCTACATCTACAAAAAGTGAAGATTTAAGAAACAACTAAAAATTGCGGAATTATTTTTCATAGATAATAAAAAGTTTTCACCTCTATTTGTTTTTAAATTTAAGTTCACTAACACTTGCAGAAGTTCTTCCTGTGGTTTGGGCAATGTTGGTGTGGATTTTCTTCTTGCAGCATAGATATTTCTTCGAACGTAAGAAATGTCTTTCGTCCTCAGCGGTAAATTGCTGAAATTTTCCTTTCTCAATTCCTTGTGGAAAATCTTTAAAGGTCTTTCACATGTATCTGCTACAGTTTTCCTCTTTGTAGAATTACTAAAAATTCGCCTGTCAATCTGGATATCTGGAGCATGATTATGCTCCACTGATGCTTTTTCAAGAATTACGTTATTTTCCTTTGTGTACACTTTTTGTTGACACCCTTTTTTGATGCATAAAAGTTCTCTCCTTTGACTAATAGTTTAGGAGCCCACTGCAAAATGTTGGGTCGATCACTAGTATGGCTAAATTTTTATGAAAACATCGGGTAATATATTGT